AGGAGAGATCATTAAACAGGAATTCTTGGAAAAGGAAGGAACTGAACTAGCAAAAATGGAGAAGGACAGCCTCAATCTTCACTCCTTCTTGTTCCAATGTACCCAAGCTGGAAATTGATTTTTTAAAATCATGATTTACTAAACCCTAAGAGACATAATGAAAGAACATTACATGTCTAATGCTCAGTTTCTGAGAAACAGTGGGATGGGTTTTTCCTTGTCAGTCAAGTCTAACCCCAACTAAACCATCAGTTCTCCACAGAAATCCTTGCAGGGAAACCCCATTTGCTGCCTGAGGCCCTGCTGGCTTCAAACAGGGGAACACCCACACAGTACTCTTTGAAGAGTAAAAGCCTAGAGCCTAGTTATTAGCTCAGAATCCATATAAATACCGTAGATTCACTTAGGGTAACACACTGTCCCAAGATGAGGAAGTCCTTGGGCTGCCAGGAGGATTAGTACCTCCTGAAGAAGTATTCCCATAAGCTGTGTCTTCATATTCTTTTGCCCACCAGAGACACCTGTATCACTGTTTGTATTAAATCCTGTCTACTCAAAAAAAAACCCCAATCCAAACCATTTTTTAATGCAACCTCCCCTTTTTTAATTCAAAAAAGAGCAAAGCACAGTTCTACTTCTATTTCATATACTCACTGCATCCGAAAAGCAGCTGTCATCCAAGAACAAAATCCCTGTAAATCAAGAAGGAAGTTTTTAGGAACTAACATCAAAAAATATAGTCTCTACTCTATACTGTTAAGAGAAGTGTTTCCATTAAGCCAATCTCTTAGCTAAAAAACTAGCAGTCAGTTGCTCCAAAATCATCAGGTAGAAACATATAGAAAAACACCTAGTAGTCTACATATTTTTCACATGGTACTTCATATGTCTGTCTTCAAAGGGTATTTAAGGGAGGTTGTTTTGTTTCTTGGCTTTTTTCTTATTACTTATATGTTTATCATTTGGGCTTCTTAAATTTATACAAGCCCAGGGAAGGGAAGTCAAGATTGAGGCTTCTAAGGATTTCTTTTTAATGCATTGTTTTAGAGCAGGAAAGGTGATTATTTTTTCCAAAACCATTTCCAGAGACTCTCCAGTTTCAAGGATAAGTTCCATGAGAGTCTAACACAAGTCAATGAGTTTAACAGTAGTTAGAAACAACACTGTGATGACATTAGCAGAAAGACTTCGTATATAGGTTTACAAATCCTCCTCTGAAACTGTAAAGCAGATATCACATCTCACTGAATGCTCCAGTACAGGTCAAAGAACCCCCAAAACCTTCTCTCTCAAAAGACTTCTTCTTTCAAGCTAATAGGAGCCAAGCAAAGAGACATTTTTATTCAACAGCTTCAACGACAGATTTGCTTTAGGGTTTTTCAAAAGATGAAGAAAACTACAAAAATAGGAGAGCAATCCTGACCAAACACCAGTGTGCTTTTGATGCTTATGTAGTTATTTAGTTGCAAAGCTAGATATTAAGTCGATGCATAAAAGGTTAAAACATAGGCTGCCACCATTGCACAACTCTCGCATGGTTTACTCTGAAGCTGCAACACAAAATGATAGAGGTATATGAGTTCAAAGACTACAGAGAGACCATGGAGGGAACCAGTTAAGAGTCTGGCCTCAAAATTATCTTCCACTCCAAACCAGCTTTAATATTAAGAGTATATGGCACTATTACTGGCCTGACATTTGCAATCCAGTTTTCTCAATGTTGTGAGGAAAACAATGTACTATAAAGACCAACTGGATATTATTTGCAATAATGTAACTTTTTGAGCTGTTAAGTACAAATTATTCACTACACATCCTTTGAAATAATATTAATAATAATAGTAAAGATACTTAAAAAGAATGACATAAGATACTGGTTTATGATATAGGAATAGTTTGTCAGGAAACAGAAAGAAATTACATACGGTTCTGTAAAAGCACAGAAAATAATGCATTACTCATTTTGCATATAGATGGCTTTCCAGTTTAATGACTGGTTCATTGGGCTTGACGGAATGGCAAATCACAACAGATTCCATTAAATAGCTTATATTTGAAAAAACATATAAGAATTCTACAATACTTACCTTATCATATTCAAGATCTTCAGGTACTGATGAAGATGTTGACAATCGGTTGTATCTTGATTCACTAAAATACATTAAATGCTGCTTTTAACTGTCTTTAATAACAGATGATGTAATTCCACAGAATTGTTTCAGCTTTAACAATTCCGAAGTAACTACAAAACCACTTTTTCACTGTGTTTCACAGCTGTGATTTTCACCTTGCAGCATATGCTTAATTACAGAAACTTGTGCTATGTCTGATCTTGAAAAGGGAGGACGTGAGCTCCTGACATAAGAGTACATAACTGAACTAGAAAGAAAACAATGTTTTATTGGGATATTAAATCCACAGTAACATAATAGAATGTTACACGTTTGGAAGCCTGGCAAGGATCACGTTTGCAAGCTAGCTTCCTGTTCAGATATTCCTCATTACCAGACATCACCTCTTTTCCCTCCACCCTTCTTCCTTCATCTTACAGCCACTACTCAGAATTTCTCCACACAGTTAAATCTCTTACTTGCAAGGCCACCTCCTCAGACAAACCAAGTCCTGCAGCAAGGCTAGACTGTGTAGCCCCCCAAAATAGCAGAGTACCTGGTTTTAGTTATTGCTAACAAGAAATGTTGAAATGGTGATATGCCTATAATTACAGGACAATACATGTTAAAATGGAATGTATTCATATGTGTATCTATGATAATTTTGACCTAGTGGCTCCGGTCACAGTCCAGCAGGGACAATAACAGGCTCTTAGATGCCTGACTGCTCAAGGACCTCTTTGTCCCATGCAGGCCTCTACAGCCCACATGGAAGCCTGTACCAGAACATCTTCATTCTTGCTGCTGAGGTAGCTGGATTAAATCTGTCTCAGTTACTGCCATTCTTTCTTTTTCCTCACCATCTGTATTTCACAACTGTAATGGATCATACCTAAACACACATTCTGAGTTCTTTCCTGCTGCTTAGTTATGAATTTACCACAACTTAGTTGCACCACTAATACCAGGAAGAGGCTTGCTGTTAAAGTTTACCCACTTCATAAATTAAAAGCTAGCTTTTAAACATCCCAAGACATCATTCTTTTTATATTTTAAATAATATTTAAAAACATAAATAATCAAAATCTGAAACTCTTCAGAAATTTTGGTACAGGCTGCACAGGGATCTCTGGGAAGATACTGAGCTTGAGCCAAGATAAACAAAATAGTTACTATCCTTCTATCACACAAACACCTTGTAAACATCAATGTGTGGGTATGTGACATGTTAGCAGACAAGCAGCCTATTTTCTTACCTCTGCTTCCTCAACCCACAACTGTAGAATGAAATTTATCATGACACCCAAGACACAACTCTATTACTGAAACCACAAAGAGTAACTTTGAGTGGGGCCTATTTCACACAAAGCAGCATAAAGACATTTTTAACAAATATGTGCATGTGCTTACAAGCATATCTAACTGATACAAATGCTGCATTAGGTAGATATGCCTTTCATTTCATTTAATGAAATGAAATTTAATAATAATACATTAAAGCCATATTTACTGTACGTAGTTCCACATTCCCCAAACAGTTCCAACAAATCACTTTGATTGCCTATCTTTTTTACCTTTCAGCTTCTGACACCAGAGCAACACGACCGTAGTCCCAGAATCTCTTTCTTATAACAGAAAACAGTAATATTAAAACCTAGAAAAGAAAAATAAAGGTCTTGGAATTTTTCCACTTCATAATTATTTTACGTGCATAGGAACTGTCAAAAAATGCTGTCCTAGCTCCTAAACCAAGTGTCATATACTAACCAATCATGCTACAAACCAACCTGTCTGGGACCAAAGGACCAGAACACCTGCCTTCCTCATCTAATTTACAGCAGAGAATGGAAAAGTACTTCTGAACTGCAAGCATACGAAGGCTGGTGACAGGAAAAGCAGCAAGTAGTACTTGAGAAGAAGTCTAAATGTTCATAAATACACTTCTACTATTATTCATGACTTAATGACCAGAACTACGATGGAAGACTTGCAATTTTAAACAGTGATGTAAACACACTATAGGGGGTTCAACTACTTTCTCAAGTATGTGACTGTTTTTTTATCCCCAGAAAAAGTAATGTATTATTACAACTCATAAACCCCAGAAACTTATATTTGATCTCTGCAGTGTATTTTTTTATCTCCCCACCCTGTACTTTTACTTTGTAAAAGATCCTATGAAAACAAGAAAAAAATAAACCAAATACTATATATTTCACAGATGCATAAGTTGCTTTGTCCTTTGTACACTGAAGCAATGAAACAGAAGTAACAAGGCCTGTTTTCTATGAATATGCAGCATACGCCCTCACCTTCCAGCTCCTCCTACATCCCATACCTGTTTGGCTAGAAAGTGGTGTAACTTACCTGGATCTATGCAAACACCGACTGGCCAGCCAGGATATGCGTCAAGATTATCTATGGGTCAGGATTACACAGCTAATTTCCACATTTCACAATAAATATAATCTTCTTATAAAAGCCTTCCTCCCAACAGGGATTATTAATTTAGATCTTCCTTCTCCAACTCGCCATTGAGCTTAATGCAAGCAGGAAAGTCTCTTTGACAACTTTGCTTGAAATTGCATAACATGTTCTATGGTTAATAGGAGGAACTGACAGGCAAAAATGGGAAGAGAATGTAATATATAAACCTCACTTCCTTAGGAAACCAGCCTAGAAATAATATCCAGAAACCCATCAACTGACAGCTACTGAGGGGATCTGCAGTAAACATGAGAACAGGAATACAGGAGTTGCTAAATAAATTGCAGTATTTGGCACTTGAAGAAGAGAGGGGCTTTCTACACTGCATCTATCTAATGCTGTTTGAGAGAACAGTTCGACAGCAATAAACTCAAAAGCAGAAAGCCAGTATCTTAAAAATCAACCACAGCTTAAAAATTAAAGTTCTCCCAAATACTCCAACTAAAAGTTACTAAATGCTGTGCCATCAGTCACACAAAGCAGTAAATCTTGTACATCCTCCAAAAATGGATTTATGGTACCATGCTGCATACAGCAGATCAATAGCACTTAATGCTACTCCATGACTGCTAGGAACTTTCTCTACATTCCTCCAGAACTACCAGCTCAGATCTTACACATGTAAACTTACGTTTCTCCACAGAGGCTTTCTAGAACTCAGGAACTATGTTATCCCTTTAGTCTGATTTTACTACCACAAACCTCACTTACAAGGCAAATTTAGAGCTTTTTTGTGTAGCTTAAGACCATGAAGATCAAACTTACAGAAATAACTAAGGTTTATTGGAGTCTCAGGCCTGCCCTGGAGCCTCCAGAACAGCAACTAATCCTCCTTTTGTCAGGACTGAGCTGATCAGAACATTATTTCCTCAACAGCTTCATGATATCTAATATTTTAAAAATTTGTGAAATGACCCATTTTCCATATAGTATTTCCTTTTGAAAACCAATCAAGTTATTAATGATGTTCTCTTCCTGAAAAGGTACCCACTACTTAAACCCAGCATAAGGAAAAAATGTTCCTGCATTAGTTAAGATAAAACATAGGACTTTGAGCTACCACGAGCCCATGAAGCTCACCATGAACCCACACACAGACCCTACGGTAGTCTCTCTACATCTACACATCCAACGTAAAGTGACACTGTCATCCCATATTATGGGATCCTTTGTCAACACTTGATAAGTGCTTTGATGTGCCCAGGATAGCCTTAGCACATTTCTTATTCTGAAGATTCTCAGAAACAAATCCCTACCTGATGAATAAGAGAATTCTGAAAAACCTAACTTTTGAGAAGGCCAGAGATATTTTCAATACAAGAAACAGAAACTGGACTTACAAAAAAGAAGGTTACATCAAGTAGCAGGACAGTTGGGATTCCACCAAAAGTTACTCCTTGGAGCACTGTGCTGCCCTGGGCGGTGCTGTAGCAGTATGTCTCATTTGTTGAGTTGAAAGGTAGACTTCTATTCCAGAAGTAGACTAGACGAGAATGTCCAAAACCCAGAAAAAAGAAGGGGTTCATTTTGTCTTTCCTTGAAGAAAAAGAAGAAAAAAAAAAAAAAAAAAAAAAAAGAAAGACAACCATGTGAAAAGCCTGCCTGGTATTTGTGAGATGTACTAATATTACAAGTATAAAACCAGCAGAAAGGTTCAACCAGGAAACTACTTTGGAAAAGCAGTTATAGTTGGCAAACTTTCCCCTTCACCTGTAAAATACTGCACAATAACCAACAGCCTCAGTTACCAGCAGTGCCCAACGAGAATTCCAGACATCCAACCAAACATGTGCTTTACACACACCTGAGGAAGATGACTAAAGACCCACACAAACCAAACTTCTTTGTCTTCTAAGCTCTAATATCAAACTACTTATTCCTGCCTGGGTTCTGATCCTAGGAGTAACATGGGGCATTAGATAGTCCAACAACTGCAGTTGAAGATTCTCCTCCTAGTTGACGAGCATGTGTTGAATGTACCGACTTGTGAATTTAGCATTAAAAATGTCAAGACCTTGAGATTATTAACAAATTTCCCATTAATTCCACAGAAAAAACCTACCACACACTCATCCCTGTTGTTAGGATATTATGTTATTTTCCTTTGTTAACAATTCAGCTGAAAGAACAGCACAGTAATTATAGTGCACCATGAACAAGAAAGAACAAAGAGTATTTCTAACTAAGAAAGAGAACAGCCATCTACCTCATTTTAGTCAACTGACCTGTTCAGATAATGTGCTAACATACAAGAATGAACAAGATTTGGCTGCTGATACAAAGGTCAGTGCAGGCAATTGCTCACTTATTTTGGGTCTTTCCACCTCAAGCATTTCTTTTCCTGGATCTTACTAACTTGATGATTCCAATGTACTTTGGATGAAAGCATGTTTCATGCATAACAGACTTCTGACTGATAAAGTCATGAAGAAATCATACTGCAGAGAACTATCCTTTGAAAGCAAATAGGCCACCATCACACAGGTCAGGAACACTGCTTTTGGGATACCTTGCCTCTCTATGAGGAAAGCATGTGTCTGATGGCAGCACTATTCTGGATGCTGAAAACAAAACCAAAACAAGGGTATGAACAACTGCAAGTTCTCCCTTTAAACAGCAGGAAAACAGCATGGAGAATACTCCTTCCAAACCAGCTTTTACTAAAAACTGGACTGTGTGACACGGTGGGGAAGAAATTCTGTCCCAGCTGGCACGTTTCATCACAAGAAAACAAATAAACCAGCCCACCACACAATGTGTCGGGAATCTATCCTTGCTTTCTAAGGATGGAAATTGAGTCCTGACAAAAGAGAAGGTACTTTTGAACATACTTCAGAAGCCTTCACCAGAACTGCACCGACAGCACACTCAATTTCACGTAACACACTGTATCTTAACTCAGACACAGTTGCCAGTTCTTAAAAGCTTTTATTTGTAAGTAAGCCGGCTGTCAGAAGAACGGCAAGACCTCCCACGGGTGGAGCACCGAACGAGCGGCACTTGGCGACCCTTCCAGGCAAGGCGAGCAGCGGTGCGGGCTCCAGAAACGAGAAACCGCCTCCCTTTCCTGGGCTGGGACCCTGACAACGTCCCCGGCCCGGGGAGGGTGTGAAACGGGGCTGTCAAGGCCCGTTTCCCGGCCGGCACACGGG